ATGAAAAAATTCAACTGTTGTATATATATATATTTTGTATATAACATAAAAATTTTTGTAAGAATAATTTCAAACAAAATCTTCATTTAATCTACAAAAACCATGTTTAGCAATGTATATGTTTTATATCAATGTAGCTTTTTTTCTGTACTAGATCAACAATTGAATGTGAGTTGATAAATGATCAAGTAAATGCATGTTTCAATTTTCAGTATAAAATGTGTATATATATATATATACACACCAAAAATAATGAGAGCTTCGATAGTACAATTGGAATATGTAATATGTGTATTGCGTATATTGTATTTATATTAATTCTCACTTTAATTTAATTAATATGTTGCAAACAATATACAGGATACATTGTTTTATACCAGCAATGGAATTTTTAAAACTTTTTATTTCATTTCAGTACCTACATGATTATTGCTTCTAGAGTTGTTCGACCTGGCCAAGTGTATCGAGTGATGGCAACTGTTTATCAAAGTAGTAAGCCCATTATTGTAAAAGCTTCAATCCAAAGGGATGGTGTAGAACTTGCATCTGCTTTTGAAAAATGCAAAGATGGTATAAGTGAAACACTCTTATTACAGGTAAATTTTTCTTTTTTAATTAGTGTTACAACCTATATTTGTTCAAAATTAATAATTGAAGATTATTGACTCTGGTTATAATTTATAGAACTATGAAGTAATTAATAAGTTATTAATAGTGTTATATATATAATAATGCTGTTAGTAACATATTACTTTATTATTATAGTTTTCAGACTTGGAATTCTTGAATTTCTTCAATATTTCTGTAAAATTTATTCCTTGTAANAAATTCTTCCATTATGGGCCTGGATTATGTGTAATGATTATGTATATATTTTAAGTCCTATTTTATTAAATACAGTAAAATGTCAATTTAACAGACTTCAGTTTAATGGTAATTTAATTGTTTAATTATCTTTAAGTGGTGATTAAACCTCAAACTCCAATCTTCATGGCTTTGATCTGAGGTAAAATGCAGTCAAAGTTATTGATATATGATATATTTGCTAGGGTAGTCAATAGGAGATGACAACCCTCTAATTTCACTGTTTATTAGTCATTTTTATGACTTCTAGATGTGACAATGTTTTTGTTCTTATCACTGTTTGGTCAGTAAATTCTTGTTGTTCCTAAAGTATGTGTGTCATTTTGTTTCTCTCACTCTCTTTCTAAAATGTTTTAATAAATTTACTTTGATGATATTAGTTGATGTTTTTCCTATTATTAAAAATAACAGTTATTAGAAAATTTTAATATCAATTATAAAGTCAACTACTTAATATTAAAGCCAATAAACATATTAAATTATAGGTTTTGAAATAAAATAAATATTTAAAATATTTTATTGTTATGACCAAACCAATTTATTTCATAAGTTAAAAGTATGTATTACAACTGCTTAAAATAGGTAGGTACAAGGGCTGTTCGGAAAGTTTGTGGCCTCACTATTATTTATATTATTTTAAAAATAAATTTTAAGAAATTTATTTTAAAAATAAGTTAAGTTTTTAAAGCCAAATTACATCCAGCTATAATAATACCTGATGTAATTTGGCAATCATTTGGTGTTAAATGAAAAATAGGGTTATTGAATGTTTATATTTGAATTTTTTTTAACTCAGCAAGCATGAAAACTTGTACTTAAATTAATTTTATACTGAAAATTGAAACTTATGCATTTACTTGATCATTTATCAACTCACATTCAATTGTTGATCTAGTACAGAAAAAAAGCTACATTGATATAAAACATTTACATTGCTAAACATGGTTTTTGTAGATTAAATGAAGATTTTGTTTGAAATTATTCTTACAAAAATTTTTATGTTATATACAAAATATATATATATACAACAGTTGAATTTTTTCAT